GCGAGTGTGTTTGTCCATGGTGTAGGTGGCAGCATTCTTTTACTTATTCATCACTTACTGAGTATCTGTCTTAGGCTAGTCACTCTTTCTGAAAACAGTTATGAATTACAAGGCCCCTACTCTCAAGCAGCTCCTAATCGAGAGGTGGGGGTTGGGAGAGAGAGAAACTAGACAATTCCAGACAATTACAGTGGTATGGTGCGTACTATGAAACGGCCATGCAAAGTGACCCTGGGAACAAGAGAGGTGCCCTGTATTGTCTGTCAGCTGTACAAGCTTTTCCAGGAGGTCCTTTTATTTTTTTTATTTTTTAATTTTTTTTTGAGACAAAGTCTCACTGTGTTGCCTCGGCTAGAGTGCCGTGGCGTCAGCCTAGCTCACAGCAACCTCAAACTCCTGAGCTCAAGCAATCCTTCTACCTCAGCCTCCCGAGTAGCTGGGACTACAGGCATGCGCCACCATGCCCGGCTAATTTTTTCTATATATTTTTAGTTGTCCGATTAATTTCTTTCTATTTTTAGTAGAGACGGGGTCTCGCTCTTGCTCAGGCTGGTCTCGAACTCCTGAGCTCAAACAATCCGCCCGCCTCAGCCTCTCAGAGTGCTAGGATTACAGGCGTGAGCCACCGCGCCCGGCCCAGGAGGTCCTTTTAGAAGAGCACTGCCTTTCCACTCTGTGACTACAGAATCATTCCTTGAGATTCAACTATGTCTTTTACCGTTTTTCTTTTCCAGTGCCCAAAGGACAGGGTGATATGATTGTGGGGGTGGGTATCTGTCTCACAATACCATAGAAGAGGTGACAGTCTTCCCATTTTCCTCTGGAGTTCAGTGCTCCCAGGGTTTTGTGGTTTGCTTTTGTTATCTAGTAATTGCCCTTGAATTCTCAAAATGGTTTATCACTTCCTTGTCTGTCTGGGGTGAGTTGGAATTGCTGATTTACTTTTACATGGTATAGATACATATTTTTCATTCTTTAACATGCATCCAAATCCCCCTTTCCTGCAAAGTATCTCTTAGTTCTCCAAACAGAATGAATTATTCCTTCCTTTTTATACCTTTATACTGTTACTTCTACTCCAACTTAATACAAATTGATTTCATTTTGTCTTTTATTATAGCTGTTAGGTGTCTCATTATGTCATAGGACTATAAGCCTATTGGGGGCAAGAACTATATTTTATTGATTTTAGTATCTTCCTCTTTCTGTACTTTCACTTCTGTTATTTACACATAGTAGACAATGAATAAATGTTTGTTGATCTAATGAACTGGGATTTTGTAACATGATCCATGTTTAGTTGCATATTTTAGGGTATATGATTCTAGAACAAGGTCAACAACGTCAGTAGTTTCTGCGTGAGTTTTATTTGTTTGAATTAGGTTATAGGAGTATTTGCTTGGCAAATGCTGCCCAGATAATACGAAAAGGTTTTTGGATAGATCTGGGCTAAGACTTGGAATTTTCTTTTCCTGTTTCCTTCTTGACACCCATATATGGCTTTATCACTGTTAAGTGTTGATTTTTCTTACTTCCTGCTTTCTTCCCGATACTCGAAACATTCTTTTACTGATTTGCTGTATCCATTCAAATATCTGCTAAGTGCCAGGAGCGTCCCTGATGCTAGGGATACAGGGAAGACAAAACAGACTCTGTATCTATAATCTGGGAAAACAGCCTAATTCCTTTCATCAAACAATGGATAAATTCAGTCAAAACATTCTACCTGATAGCCTGATGGCATATTTTGAAAGACATTTTCAAAAGTCTCAGAAGATCCTTGGCTAGGAAACCAGAGACTTGAGGCTTCCTGAGTGTCATTTGATTTTCCAGTGATTTATGTCTCTTCCAAAACTCATATATATATGGATGCAAACTTCTAATTTTTTCCCTTGTCATTTTATATTTATGCATATTGAATTTCAAACTTGAATTTCTTTAGTCACTTAATTTAAAATTTTAATTTCATAGCAAGTCTAGTGGCTCTTTGTATGTATTCACATAAAAGGGGTGAGGTTTGCCCTCTATGCTCTCCTGGCCATGGTGAAATTTAATCATTTTCTAGGCTGAATATCCTTTTCTTTCTTTCTTTCTTTTTTTTTTGAGACAGAGTCTCTCTCTGTCACCTTAGCTAGAGTGCAGTGGTATCATCATAGCTCACTGCAACCTTGAACTCCTTGGCTCAAGCGATCCTCCTGCTTCAGCCTCTCCAGTACCCAATAGCTGGGACTATAGGCCTGGGCCACTATGCTAATTTTTTTTTTTTTCTTTTTTTAATTTTTTTGGAGAGCTGGGATCTTGCTATGTTGCTTGGGCTGGTCTCAAACTCTGGGCCTCAAGCCAATCTCCTGCCTTGGCCTCTCAAAGTGTTAGGGTTACAGGTGTGAGCCATCACACCTGGCCTGAATATCCTTTTTTTTTTTTTTT